GATGCTGCCTGGCCTGCTGTGTTCATTCAGCTCTACACCTTGTTATCTAAGTTACTATCGAATGTGTCTAGAATTTGCATCCAAATGAAAACTAGAAGCAGATGTGCAATTAAAAAAGGAACCACATTTCAATTTGCTTTGGTTGTTTAATAATGGTCACTGAGGTTACTGCTGTTTTCATCCAGCTCTACACCTTGTTATCTCAGACTCCAGCACTGGCAGTTCCTGCTATCTCTTCTATAGTAACTTGCTCTGGGGTTGCCTTTCTTGTATATCATATGAAAACAGATTGCCAGGAAAATGGATGCCTCCTAACGTTTAACAAATTTGCAGCCTAATTGAGGTGGTGATCTGGTTAAATTGCATGCGAGTTTTTAAAGTTCGTATTGAACAGCTTGTTCTTGTATTGGCATTATTTCCTTGGAGTAACTCCAGAGTATTGTTTTTCCATTTGCTCTATGTTTCTATGAGAATTCTGGCAGCTGATGTGTTGCAAGTCAGGTCTGCTTAGGGGGTCATGCTGGTAGTGATTTTGCAATTGATTTGGCTGCTGACACTGAAAACGTCAGTCTTTGCATAAAAATGAGCCATTCAGTCCGGTACCAGGGACTGGAGCACCGTGTCAGTGGTCAATTCCACTACAAAGCCAGCTTTTAGTGCTCACTGCTAATTGCCTTTGAGAAAGTGGTGGTGAGGTACCTTCTTTGAACTGCCACACTCCATGTGGTGCAGGTGTAGCCACAATGCTGTTAGGCGTGAAGTTCCAGGATTTTGACCTAACGAAAGTAAAGGAATGACTGATTGATTTATTTCCAAGTGAGGATGATGAGTAACTTGGAGGGGAACGTGACGGTGGTAATGTTCCCTTGTATCTGCTGCCCTTGTCCTTCTAGATGGCAGAGTTTGCGGGTTTGGATGGTCCTGTCAAACGAACCTTGGCAGTTTGCACTTCCAGTAGTGTTTTATGGGATAATGATGAAATGATCAGGTATGATGATCCCTCTAACTCTTTACTGTGCAAAATGGAGATCACGTGTGTTCTTACTGAAACAGCTTCTCATGAAGTCCAGGGAGCAAATATAGCTTTTAAAAACAGAAAATGCTGGAGAAACCCATTTGGCTGCATCTGTGGATAAAGCTGAAGAGTTGACATTTTGAATCTAATATGACTCCTTTTCAGAGTAACTTTTAGACCCTCATCCATATGGCTAAGAACCACACTATTTACACTTTGTTATTGAGAATATCTTAAGTACTTCATTTGAAAGCAGAAAGAATAGATCCAAAGTGAGTCATAAACTTGATGTAGCAATCACAAGGGCTTAAAACCAGAGGTATGAACCAATCTATTGCCAATGCTACAATGCATTATTAAACTCTAATTTTTTTTTTTCTATTGTGTTTAGAGGCTAGGTGTTCTTCATGTTGGCCAAAGAATTGAGGAGCAAGCAGAGTTTGAAAAGATCTACAAAAACGGTGAGTTTTAGTTCTGTTTCGAAAGACTTTTTGGTGGAGTCTTTTAATTTGGAAGAACAGGCTCCTCAATTGTTCAGTAAGCTTTATCCATTGACTTAACCAAAACTTACACACCAGAGGAGTTTTGGGTTTGACCCCTGGTCTGTATTGAACTGATCCGAGCAATGGGAAGGGTGCAGTTGGATCTTAGTATCCTTCCCAGGGTTGGGAGAGTTCTTGCTTCTGACCGCTATGCATCGCTCCCTGCTGGACATGTGTGCGCTTGGATTGTCGGGTGAGAGTGGAATGGCTGATGGCCCTGGTGTTTGCATGCTCTCTGGGGGACAGTGCCAGTGTTACCCCTACAGACCCAACAAGATATACCTCAGAGAATCCTTAAAGTATCCTTATGCCTGCATGGAGTCTGTGCCTTTGACTGGGGAGAAAATGTGGGAGGAAAATTTGCCTGAAGAATAAAATCTAACAACTGTTACTTTTGCTGAATACTTTCAAAATTGTTACCTTTGCCGATTGAAGTACTACAGCTTAGCAATCATTTGATTTGTCCACAGCATGGGCAGATAACGCGAATGCATGTGCCAAACAGTATGCTGGAACTGGGGCCTTAAAGACTGACTTTACAAGGTAATTAAAAATTGCTGTGGTTTATTCAAGCCTTGCATGTTTTATTGCGAACAAGTTAATATGCATGGGGAAGGGAAGCACAGAAAGACCGCTCGAATTGTAGGATATGAAAAATAAAAGCCATTTGTGATTTTTGACACAAATGATTCCCCAAAGGTATTTGGATAATTGTCTGAAGACAAACTTTACAGAGCTGCAGGGCGGAAGAAAGGAGTGTGAGCAAGGAATGGAAATAGATGAATTTCACGTGTAGAGTGCCAGTATTGGCATGATCTCTTGTGCCCTAACCATTGACTGATTCTGTGTTGGTAGATTAAGACAGTGGTGACGTAATTGTGTTTTTACGTCAATTTGTTCTGCTTAAACAATTGGGTTTGTTTTTGAGAAGTCTGTCTCATTAAAAGATTAATGTTTAGTTTGAAAATAGTGAATGTTTAAGGTTAAATGTATTTGCAGTAGCGAACAAAAGACAGCAGTCACATTTCACTGGTTAAATTAAACATGGAGCCTAACTGTAAGTAAAATTGCAAACAGAATTTCTAGGTTTTTCTGGGCTCAAGACTATGAAGCAAATTGTATCATGTCAGAAGTCACATGACACCAGGCTATAGTCCAACAGGTTCATTTAAAATCACAAGCTCTCGGAGCGCTGCTCCTTTGTCAGATTCAACCTGTCATGCCAGTGCTGGCCCTTTGAAAGAGATCATCATTCAATTCTGTTCCCATTCTCTGTTCCCAATTCTTTACACGTTTCTGATTATTGAGTATTCACCTGGTAATTAACTCTGCTCCTATCACCCTTTCACTTGTTCCAGATCAGAATGAAGCACAGTGTTTCCCCCACCATTCTTTGCCACAGAACAGGATCTTTATGAAGAGATATTTAAACACTTACCAGCAGTGTCCAGACAGCATTCTTACTTTGTAACTAGTTCCATCACTATTGTTGAGTCAAAACCTGGAATCCTGCTCCATAACGGCACTGGGGGTGTACCTTAACCACAAGGACTGCTGCAGTTCAAGAAGGTGGCCCACCACCAGTTTTTCAAGGGAAATTAGGGACCGGTAACAAACTTTGGTCTGACCAGTGACACCACATCCAGTGAAATAATTTAATAAAAAGCTTAGTTGTATTCTGTGGATTGGGTATTAAGTATATTGCAGTAAATGAGCTGCAAAGTTAAATTGCTTGTTGTTCATAATCCTAGCATTGGGTAATTAAGATGGGTAATTAAATGGGAAATGAAATCCTGTCCTAGCATATCTGCAGTAGGCTATCTAGAAGGAACCAAGAGCTGTGTGCTACACTTTAGGATGTGACTAAGGTTGACATTGGGGGCGTGCAGAGATAGTGATATTACCCAGATTAATTGTACATGAGAACTGGGTAAGGGTATGTTGCCTTCAGATTTTAACAGCTCACTGCTGCCAAACCATTGACTGTTTGCTTTTTCAGTTTAATATTACTTCTGCTCAGCTGATAGTTTGGCATTTTTGGCTTAAGTATTCACCGTTTTCTTTTCAGAACTGGAAAGAGAACCAAGTGGGGCCTTGTGATGGATGGTTGGAACTCGATGTTAAGATACTACAAGAATAACTTTTCTGATGGATTTAGACAGGTACCCTGTTCTATCACTTTCCCATCCAACTTCACCAGCAACAGCTGTGTGTTGATTTTTTAAAATTCGATTAGTCGTGTTTTTTTAAATTATTTGAATAATTTCAGAATGTTTTAAAGTCTATCGGGAGTAACCTAAGAACTCTATGTCTCGTGCAGTGTTCCGGCAACAACAAATACTTGCATTTACCTAACACCTCATGTAGTAAAACACTCAGCAGCACATCTCAGAAGCATGATTAAAATATGGCTTATTTGTTACCAAAAGATCGGCTGAAGAAAATGCTTTTAAGGTGGATCTTGAGGTGGTGGAATGAAGGGACTTGAGTAATTTTGATTTATTTGTTCATGGAACGTGGGAACTGGTGGCTAGGCCAGCATTTATTGCGCACCCCTAATTATCCAGATGACAGTTAAGAGTCAACCACAAGGATTCCTTCCATAAAGGACATTAGTGAACCAGATGAGTATTTTTTTTATGGCAGTTGACAGCAGTTGCAGATTTTATTGAATTCAAATTTCACCACCTGCCACGGTGGGATTCGAACCTACGTCCCCAGAATGTTACCCTGGGCTTCTGGATCGCTAGCTGAGTCGCGTTGCCACTGTACTACCACTTTTCCATATGCAATGGTGATTTCGGTCTCAGGCTAATATTCCCATTTTATTCAAATTAAAAGTAGCATGATTTTTTAAAGAATCCTAAGGTTGTATTCACATATGCTATAAGCAAATCAAGTTTGTGTGCTAAATAATATAGAAAAATGCTAACCCCAGTAAAATTGCCAATGTTACTGTTGTGTTATGTCTCATGTTTAGTATGTTAATATACCTTTAAGAGACATGCTCATGACATCATCACCGTATCCTAGTGTGTGACCTGAGGATGTAAAGTTCCTCGGACACCAGCTTACTGGGGATCACAGGAAGCATGACACTGCAACAAGTCTACTCTTCTGCTGTAACCTTGTAGCCTAACACCAAACCAAAGGTGTGTGTTTAATAGCCACCTGTAATAAATATCTGTTGGATCCTTCAATACCACTTTATACAGACCCAGTTTCTTATGTTGTGAGGGATAACATAAGCATTGCTACACATGGTAAAAGACCCTGCTGGATGTCAAACCCACATCAGTTACTTTGAACAAAAGAATAAAAATTTCATTAGTACCGAGGTGAATTTCTCTTCTACACATCAATTCATAGCTTAAAACAGATGTGCATCTATATCAAGTGTAACACACAGAAACAATTTAATAAGCTGAAAAAGAATATCTCACTCAATCTTTTTAATTCTTTCAAGAAAAGGGGAAAAACAAAATCTTTGGAGAAAGGGGAATTGGGTCCAGTTATGATCCACTACCTGCCTTAACCACCACTCCGCTCTCCCCCCCCCCCCCCCGCCGCCCTACCTATTGATATCTCATTTTACCCTCTGTCAACAGCTGTTGCTGCTTACTCTCTGATGAAACTGCCTTTATTCTTCTGTTTATTTGCAACGTATTTTGCTGAAACTGTCACCAAGATGTTTTGTTTACACCTCACTCCAACACTTGCTTTGTTTTCAGTCTTTCCTTGTGCTCTATGTGGTTGGTTCTGTCCATTGAGTAAGAATGATCCCAAATCTAAAATCTCCTGTAGCCACTTGCTGCCTTAGGTAAGGTGTAAGACAAAAATCTTGACAGATGATCCTCTTTGTACCAGCACCTTATTCCTCCTTCCCCATCGCTTCTCTCTCCTCATGCATTCCAAAAATTAAAATTCAGGAGTATGTTACTTATTTTCGATAACTCCCAATCTCAACGATTCTACTGTCTATGTTCTTGTCCCATTACTACTTCTGATTGTAAATTGAAGGCTCAGTTGTTAATGAAAATTTCTTCAAGAGCTTCAATTTCACTTTAATGCTAAGAGTATTTTTAAATTCCTTGTCAACTCTTATTTCCCCTTAAAGTTCTGACATGGTCTGAGGCTTGAATGCTGACCCATTTTCTTGGGAACTTTCTGCACTGCTGGATAGAATACTAAAGCTGGCTGCCTCTTGGATAATTTTTCTACTCCTATCTAGCCTTCAGCTGTGCCTCAGTTTCAGTCTGTCTTGGAACAAAAGCAGAAATTACTAGTGAAACTCAGCAGGGCTGGCAGCACGTGTGGGGGAAAAAAGCAGGATTAATGTTTCATGTTCAGTGACTCTTCTTCAGGACTATTGCAAGCTATGTATGTGACTGTCTTATCTGAGTCATGAAATTATGGGTCACTAAATTCCAGTCCTGGACTTGAACACCATCTAGCCTGACACTCCAGTGCAGTTATTGACGGAATGTCAGAGTATACTGCAGACATTGTTGCAGTTGTTTGAAATTTGGCATTCTTGTATTGGTCCTGATGAGGACAAGGTGAAAAGTTTCAGCAGCATGTCTCTATGTTCAACAATATTCAAGTTCTGTGTGAATAAGCGACTGTTTCAATTAGTTAACACTTATGTGTATTCATTGTTGCTGCAGGATTCAATTGACCTGTTCCTTGGCAATTATGTTGTGGATGAGACTGACTCTTTAGCCTTTTTACATGACCAGAAAGAGTGGAGGTTCCTAGCGGTGAGTTCGATGACCATTTCTGTTAATAAGCCATTTCTTATTGAGCACGATGTTGCTCACAATTTGGGTCAGTTTAATATTGTCACAGAAGCAAAATAAAATTGACATTTTCTCACTCTTGTGTTAGGTTCCTCTGGCCTCAAAATGCCCTTTAACACAATTATTGCTATCTTCAATTAAAGTATTTGTCAGTGCAGCTGAATAATCTCAAACTACAAAGCAGTGGTGCTCACTTAATTATAAGTGTTAGGCTGAATGGCAGTCCTAAAAGACCATAAGAAATAGGAGCAGGAGTAGGCCATTCAGCCTGTCAAGCCTGCTCCACCATTCAATGGGATCATGGTTGATCCAACATTCCTTACATCCATTTCCCTGCCCTTTCCCTGTAACCTTTGATTCTCCGACTGATCAAGAATCTATCTATCTCAGCCTTAAATATGCACAAGGACTGAACGCCCGTGGCTTTCTGTGGTAAGGAGTTCCAAAGACTTTCAACCCTCTGAAAGAAGGGATTTCTCCTCCTGTAGTCATATCCTGAGACTGTGTCCTGTGGTCCTAGACCCCTCCATGAGGGGAAACACCCTCTCAGCATTTACCTTGTCGAGGCTGTTATGAATCTAATATGTTTCAATGAGATCACCTCTCATTCTGATGTTGAATGGGTTCAAGCAGTTGCCTGGGAGTTATGGTGATCAGAAGCAAAGCCTGGGAGTGAAGAGGCAATAGCTCAGGAAATTGTGCTCCAATTTTGAGACAAACCTTGTGAATAGAACAGTCTCAGTAAGTTTTGCATTCAGAAAATTTGTGTTGCTTGAACATTGATGTGAAGGAACAGTTCTCCTGGAATCTTTGTCATTTCCAAGTATTAACAAGTAAACACTGCTCATTTTCCTCTGGTTAATCATACCTTTCTCCTTTTGTAGCTGCCTATAATCATGGTCGTGGCTTTCTCAATGTGCATCATCTGCTTGCTTATGGCAGGTAAGTGAAAAACAGAAGTAATCAACATGAATGTTATTGCTTTCCTGTATTTTGGAAGGTTTTTTTTGTCCATTGAATATGAGCTTTTCCAGAAAGATTAACAAGTTATTGTTCACCCTTGAGAAGGTGGGAAGCCACTGGAGCAGACAGATAGGATCTATGCTAAGCATCTCATCCAAAATCACAGTGCCTCTAGCAGTGTATTGCACTCTCAGTACAGTACTGGAATGTCAGTCTAGATTCTTGTTCTCAATACCTGGAATAGGTCTGTGCAGATTCTTGACGTAACTTCACTCACGGCACATGACGTGTTCAAATGTTGTTGGTCCTCAGGCCCCTTTTTAAATCTTTCCCCTTTCACCCTAAACCTGTGCCCTCTAGCTTTGGACCCCCCCTACCCTAGGAAAAACACCTAGGCCATTCACCCTATCCATGCCCCTTAACTTTATAAACTTCTAAGGTCACCCCTCAGCCTCTGATACTCCAGCGAAAAATGGCCCCAGGCTATTCAGCCTCTCCCTACAGTTCAAACCCTCCTGTCCTGGCAACATTCTTGTAAATCTTTTCTGCACCCTTTCAAGTTTGACCACATCCTTTCTATAGAAGGACGACGGAATTGTACGCAGTATTGTAAAAGTGGGCTCACCAATGTCCTGTACAGCCGCAACATGACATCGCAACTCCTATACTCAATCTTCTGACTAATAAAGGCAAGCGTACTGTCTGTCTTCACCATTCTGTCTACCTGCGATTCCACTTTCAAGGAACTGTGCACCTTCACCCCTTGGGTCTCTTTGTTCGGCAACACACCACAGGACCCTACCATTAATACTATAAGTCATGGTTTGCTGTACCAAAATGCAACACCTAACATTTATCTAAATTAAACTCCATTTGCCACTCCTCAGCCCATCTGATAAAGTTGTACTCGACCCTGGCCTCCTGGCTGAGATACCACAAGAATCCTTTTGTGAGAGTTTCAGGATAGATTGGATAACATCTGTGCCTTTTGGAGGTCAGAAGTAAAAGGTCTGCAATTAGGTTTAATGAGAAAGGAACAAATGAACACTTGAATAATTGTGACTGATTAACTGCCTCCTCAGTTCCAGATTTATTGGTATTCAGCTTGTTTGCTTTGATGAAATGTAAGCACACGATGGCTATGTACTGTTCTCAATAAGAGAAGAAAGCTGGAAGCAGAGCACAGGGCTGCAATGTGTGATGACTTGAATATTTTCAGGTTTCCTCAGATTCATTGTTCATGAAGGAGGTCATTGTTGGAGAAGTAGTTAATCACATTTAATTAGGCCCAGCCCTACAATTGAAAATTTGGTAGTCAATAAGTAGACCCTTGCTTTTTGGTTTCTCGCAATTAAGATCTGTTGCTACCATTCTGATGTCAGCACTGCCAGGTTCAGATGGGATGCATCTTAGATTGCTGATAGAAGTCAGGGAACAAATTGTGGAGTTGTTGACAGAAATTTTCCAGGCCCCTCTGAACACAGGATTAGTCGCAAAGGACTGGAGGATTGCAAATGTATACCATTGTTTAAGAAAGGGGCAAAGATAACCCAGGAAATTACAGACCTGTCAGCTTGGCATCAGTAGTGGGAAAACTGACTGAGGCTGTAATGTGGGATAAGGTAAATATACACTTGGAGAAAAATAATTTAATACTAGACAGTCAACATGCTTTGTCAAGGGTAGTTCATGTCTGGAAAATCTAATTGAGTTCTTTGAGGTAACGTGGGCAGTGCTGTGGGTGTTGTAGATTTGGACTTTCAGAAGGCATTTGAGACAGTGTACCATGGCAGGTTATTTAGCAAATTTAGAAATGTTTGGGATTGATAGATCCTTGTCAACATCGATTAGAAGTTGGCTGAAAGATAGAAAACAGAGAGAAGGTATTTCACACATTGGAGATGAGTTGAAAGTGGTGTTCTCCAGGGATTGGTGTTGGGACCCTTGCTTTAGCTGATTTATATAAACAGTTTGCAGATGAGTGTTGAGGAAGCTAGGGAGAACATTGAATTGTAAGGAGAACACTAAGAGACTGCAGAGGGACGTTAAAAAGTTGACCAAATGGGCAGACTCCTGGCAGATGGATTTCAATGGAGAGAAAAGCAAGGTAGTGCATTTTTGGTAGAAGAAATAGAGAGCCAGTGCAGGCTCAATTGTACAACTTTGAGGGGAGTACAAGACCAGAGAGACCTCCAAGGTTCGAGTGCATATTTCTCCGAAGGTGGCCACGAGTGTTGAAACAGTAGTTAAGAAGGCTTATAGGAACCTTGGGTTTATAAATACAGGTGTGGAGTATCAAAGCAAGGAAGTGATGCTACACCTCTACAAATCACTGGTCAGACCGCATTTGGATTATTGTCTTCTTATTTAAGGAAGGATGTTAAAGCCCTGGAGAGACTGCAAAGGAGATTTACTATAATGTTATCTAGAATGAGGGGTCTTAGATAAAAGGAAAGATTAGAGAAATTGTCTTATTCTACATGTAGCAGAGAAGATTAAGAGGTGACCTTATTGAATTGTTCAAAATTATGACCAATTTTGACAGGGTAAAGAAGGATATTTTGTTTCCACTAGTCAGTAACTAGGGGTAACAATTTCAAGATTGTCAGCAAGAGAACTAGGAGTGAGATGAGGAGAAACTTCTTTACTGAGAGAGTTGTTAGGATTTGGAATGTACTGCTTGGGAAAGTGGTGGAGGTGGATGCCATAGGAGGTTTCAAAAAAAGAGGGCTGGATTTATATTAATGTATAGGGCTATGGAGATAGGGCTGGAGAATGAGACAAACTAGGTAACTCTTTCAAGTGCTGATCCAGACACAATGGGCGAATGGCCTCCTTCTGTACTATAAATTCTATAATGACCATCCTTCTATAGTTTGAACTTTTCTGTGGACGTATAATAGGTGACACTTGGACCGAGACCTTGGCCTATGTGCTGTTCTGGGGGAGTGCGAGCTTTGGGACTGCTGCCATCATTCTCTTCAATGGCAAGGAGTTCGTTGATGCACCAAAGCTGGTTCAGAAAGAAAAGATGGACTGAATTTGTATCTGTGGAAAGCAGCTTGGCAACCAAGATTCTGTGCAAATGTGGAGGATCTTCTGACCTGCTTTCCACATCCAGACACTGTGGTGTTGTCTTTTTAAAACAATCAATTTCTAACAGTGGAACTAATGGTTGTGATCTGCAGTTGGAGTTGGATCATTCAGCCTTAGCTTTAACAAACATTTCTCTTCCTTGGTGATTCTGGACGATTTTTGGAACAACACTAGTGAAATAAAAAGGATTAGAAACATCTCCTGCTCATGTGATCTTCCTATTTGATGACCAACAACAAATGTACAAACAAACTCGGGGATGGGGAGGGCAGGGGTGGGGGCTTTTCACACAGGGTAATGGTTCAAATCCAGCAAGCCTATTACTATTCCAGTCAGCTTGTCTGTGTGTGTATATATAACTATATATAGATATCATGAAATAGTGACAGAGCAGTAACATATCTGTGGAATGAGTTATTGTTTCCAGATTTCAAGCTGTTAAGTTCAAAGTTTTGTAGAGCAGTTTGGAAATCAACTTGCTGCATGCCCTCATTTCTTTCAGTCCAGTGTTTAAACCTGAAACCGCTTTCACATCTGTCTGCAACATAATAACTCTTGGGTAAGGGAGCCTTGATTTACATGCAAAACTGTACAGCGAGTTTTAGACAAACCTGGAATTTGTATTATGTTACAGAATTAACTGTGTATATTTTGATTTTTCCTGAGTTGTGCATTATTTTCATTTAATGACAGTGTAATTATATAGTTGAAGTCCTGTTCTTTTTCTAATTTTTACATTTGCTTGTGCAGCTCTTCCATTGAAGTATTATATTTGAGCGTTATCAAACTGTTAAAATACTCAGTGGAATTGTTTTCTGGCTCTTGTTGCTTTGGGAAATAATGTACTCTGATTCACCCTATATTCCCCTAAACCGTGCCTAGTTTATCCATTCATATTTTTTAATACCTTGAAATATCACTTTAAATTGTCCAAATGAGGATGAATGCTACCGCCTGTTTCATTATTAGTGATGTACAAATTGGGATTAAAACTAGAGCAGAGCAATGAATTTGCAAAATGCCTTTAAATTGTCACGCAATCACTGATATAGAGGGCAATTCAATCAGTGTATTTTGCAGATTGAGAACAAGAATTGTCTTTCAGAATTGCAACTATAGTATCTGTCGTAAGAGATTAGTTCAGGTATTTACAAATGGGACTGGGCTGGGAGCAGCTTCTATTTATACAAGTGAAACTGTTGTCAGTTTTCCAACTATATCCATTCCATTGCCCTACTCTGTATTATGTTCCTCTTCTTTTGGAGTAATAAATAAAATGATATACAAATAAAGATTTTTATTGTTTATTTCTTTATAATATTAACTTGAACTCAGTGCGCTACATTTGTACAGCAAAGAGACTTGGTGTAATGTTCATTTGTCTTGTTTATTTGCAGTTCTTTCTTTAAAATCTGTCATTCTATGTCCTGTATATTTTAAAAATCTTAATAATTTCCGAAGAGCCAGCTAAATGCTGTTTTGGCAGCATCTGACAGGAGAGCAATAGATTTAGCATTTTGAGTCGAAGAGCCTTGGTCAGAAGTCCTAATTCATTGAACTGAAACAACATTACTATATTTTAAAAACAGAATTTATGGAGAAATTCAGCAGCATCTGTGGAGAGAGAAAAATAGTTAATATTTCTGTTTTTCTCACTTTCAGTTCTTCTAACAGGTGCTGGAAATCTGAAATACTTTATTTGTGTTACTAATGAGTTGCTGCAACCTGGAGGATCTGCCACCTGCATTCTCGCTGTTGACTCAACAACTTTGTGGTTTAAATTCCTGTATGAACTGCTCTCACTTGAAGCAGAGTATAACTTCTGTAATGAGCTGCATTTCTCGGTTTTCCTGATCAGCACTGTGCTAGCTGCTGTGGTGATGTACCTTTGACGGGGTGCATTTTAAATTAGTGTCCAACATTAGGCAGAATGCGATGTCTTATCCCATGTACTGTGAATGGAACAGAGCAGAGCCTCTAAAAGGTCAGATGTATCTACATAGCTTCCCAGGGAACATTTCAGATCAAGAACCCACACTATTGTTACACCAGTTTTTTCATTGAATCACTACAGTGTGAAAGCAGGCCATTTGACCCATCGAGTCCATACCAACACGGTGGCACAGTGGTTAGCACTGCTTTCACTGCCTGTACAGGAAGAAAATTCCAAAGCTTCACAATCCCCTTATGGGAAAGAAAATCTCAATTTCTATTTTAAATGGGAAACCCCTTTATTTTTAACCTATGACCCCAGTTCTAGATTCTCCCACAAAAGGGAATGTTCATCCGTATCTGCCCTGTCAAGTCCCCCACTTGTATACTTCACTCATGTCACAAAGACAAATTAGAGTAAAATGTAATAAGTTTTGTCATTATATAGGAAACTTCTGAAAGAAAGTCTTTGAGTTGATTGAGAACATTTTGGATTGAAACTGTGGCTTGGAATTGAAGTTGCAGGTGAAGGTGTTCCCATGTATCAGCTGCCCTTGTCTTTCTAAAAACCAAAAGAACTGTGGATGCATTACAAATCAGGAACAAAAACAGAAGTTTTGGAAAAGCTCAGCAGGTCTGGCAGCATCTGTGAAGGAGAAAACAGAGTTAAGGGTCTGAGGAAGGGTCACCGGATCCGAAACGTTAACTCTGTTTTATCCTTCACAGATGCTGCCAGACCTGCTGAGCTTTTCCAGCGACTTTGTTTTTGCCCTTGTCTTTCTATTGGATGAGAGTTTGGAAGGTGCTCTCTGGGGATCTTTGGTGATTTTCTTTTGCAGCGCATCTTGTTGGCCCACTTGGAATTAGGAATTAAGTTTTATTGTCAAATGAACTCTAGTAGAGGGATACATGAATACAGTGAGAAGTGTACAAAGTCGCCATTTCCATCTTAGGTGCAAAAGTGCCTAGATACAAAATCTTAGGTATAAATTAGAATAATAAAGAAATAAAGTTAAAGTTCAGCATTACAGACCTTCTAAAGCTAGGAAAGAGAGCAAAAAAAGCAGACAAGTCCGCGCTGGGCTTCACCCTGAGGCTGGGTGTCCCTCGGGTGCACACTGTGACAACTCGCCACCTCTAAGGGTGGGAGATAAATAGAAAGGGGGAAAAGAAAGCATGAAAAGAATAAAACAGACTTGGTGGAGGAGCTCCGGTTCAGGAGTACTACTTTGCCAACGTCTTGGAAGGTGCTGTCTGGGGAAACCTTGTTGATTTTTTTTTTTTTTTTTGTCGTGCATCTTGCAGGCCAAATGTAAAGTGTGTATCAGCAAACGTGACTTGGTGCAAGTAGGATGTGGATGTCAGGTGAAGATAGGTGTGCGACTAGACATGGAGCTGGTGCGTTTGGATTATATTGGTATTGAGGAAATGTTTGAAAGGGAATATTTGCAAACTGCACTGGAGCAAAAGGGTGTTGGAAATGACAGGTTCACATTCAGTGTTGTAGGGTCTATGATGCTCAGAACCAAAGATTTTTATCCAAAAAAGTCAAAAGTTGAATAAAGAAAGGCTGAAAATGAGTTCTCTTGATTTTGTTTTCAAAGAATGGAAGCTATTAAAATAAAAATACTTTACACCGCTCATAGAAACATAGCCTACTCCTGTGATTGTTTTCTATTTGCCCCTTTGAGCCTGCACCACCATTCGATATGACCACGCAATCTCAGTATCCCACTCCGGCTTTCTCTCCATACCCCTTGATCCCTTTAACTACAAGAGCCATGTCCAGCTCCCTCGTGAATATATCTAACAAACTGGCCCACAACGGCTTCCTGTGGGAGAGAATATATATCTAACGAACTGGTTCCAACAGCTTCCTATGGGAGAGAATTACACAAGTTCACAACTTTGAGTGAAGAAATTCTTCCTCATCTCAGTCCTGAGTGGCTTACCCCTTACTCTTAGACTGTGAGCCCTAGTTCTGGACTCCTTCCCAATATCAGGAACAATCATCCTGCATCGAGCCTGTCCAGGACCAACAGGATTTTATGTTTCTATGAAATGCCCCCACTCTTCTGAATGCCAGCGAGTGAAGGAGGGAGACTCTGTGCTGTAAAGTCTGGTCTGATTTTCTGGGCTGGGAGTTCTTTCCATATTTGATTAAAGGGGGCAGTAGAGAGCACCGGCAGTCTCCATTCTTCATTATCTGGCTTTCTGCGCATGCCTGGTCACATCGTCCAGTGTTTCGCGCATGCTCAATTGTAAATGGCCGACTCGCTGCGCCCACTCAATTAGAGGAACCGGCTGCCGGCACTCTGCGCACGCTCAGTAGTAGCGGTCGGCTGCCGGCCATCCGCGCATGCTTATTGTAGGGCGGGTTGTGGCGCCTCCATTCCGCGGCCCCCGGGAACAATCTGCCTCCATCATGAAGCTGGTCCGGTAAGAGGAGGCATCGGAGGCCGGGGATGGGTGGACCTGGGCCTATACCTACCGAAACGGAGGGGAAGGGAAGGGAAGGGAATGGGAGAGACTCGGTGGGGAGGAGATGATGGAGAAGCCGCGGCCCAGCTCAGGCCTGGGGCCTAGTCAGGCCGCACCAGCCGGGGAGAGCCCGGGGCTTCGAGGCCTAGGATCCTGGCGAGGTGGTGGGTGAGGCTATAGTCTCTGCCCCCTCCTATGATTTACAGTGTGGAAGGAGCTGCTCCTGTTCTGATTGAGCATCTTGACTCACTCAGCTCTCCGTTTGTCTGTAACCCGGTTCAAAAAGCGTTTAAAAATAGACAACGCTTTAATTCTTAATCTAATCTCTCTGATTTGACAAAGTCCCACTGTTCGATTTGAGAGTGCATCACTTACACCCCCCCCCCCCACTTTCCCTTCCCCATTTCCATTGCTGTCTATCCACAGGGTTCAGTGTCTCCCACACAATAACCATCCACCCTCTTTCCTCTCTAACAACACTCATGGTGAGGCACGTGGTTAGCCAGAACTGCCTGTGGTCTCACTCACCCTGACCCACAGTTGGACAGTTGCTCAGTGAGGACTGTTGGCCTCGACCTCCACACACGCGCTCAATCTTGCCCCTGCCCTTCCAGACGATGCCCGTGACAGGGCGAGTGGTCAGCCAGAGATGCCTGTTTTGACCTCCGAGTGTACAATAGTCACCATGACAACACTGCCTCCCCAACTTCACTGGTGCCAAATAGATGGTCAGCAAGCACTGCCCATCACACGTTCTTCACTGTCTGGGTCTGGTTGGCATCAACTCCTGGATGAATTGTGATTTCGAAAGGATTGTGAAGTCTGTCACTGCTGATTCTGTCCCGGACCCCTGTCATAGAGTTATACATCACAGAAACAGACCCTTTGGACCAACCTGTCTATTCTGACCATAATCCCAAACTAGTCCCACCTGCCTGCGCTTGGCCCATATCCCTCCAAACATTTCTTATTCATGTGCTTGTCTAAACGTCTTTTAAACGTCGTAACTGTACTCACATCCATCACTCCCACTGTCTTTTTTAAATCACTCTCCCATTGCCGTAAAAATATGCCCCTAGCCTTGAAATCTCTCACCCCAGGGAAAAGACACCTGTCATTCACCTTAGCTATACCCTTCATTATTTTATGAACCTCTATAAGGTCACCTCTCAATCTCTTATGCTCCATTGAGAAAATCCTAGCCTATCCAGCCTCTCCTTATAATTCAAGCCCTCTATTTCTAGCAACATCCTGGTAAATCTCTTCTGAAGCTTCACCAGGTTAATAATATCCTTCTCATAACAGGGAGACCAGAACTGTTCACAGTATTTCAGAAACGGCCTCACCAATGTCCTCTACAATCTCAATGTAACATCCCAAATTCATTCTCAAAGATTTGAGCAATGAAGACAAGCGTGTTAGATACCTCCTTAACCACCGTATCTATATGTGATGCAAACTTCAAAGAATTATGTACCTGAATCCCTAGGTGTCTCTGTTCTACAACACTGTGCAAGGTCCTACTTTGAATTGTATAAGTCTTGCCTTTGTTTGTTTTATCAGAATGCAATGCCTCATGTTTTTCCAAATTAAACTCCATCTGCCACTCTTCAGCCCATTGACCCAACTGATCATCTTTGTAACCTTAGATAACCTTCTTCACTGCCCATTATACCACCAATCTTGGTGTCATCCACAAACTTACTAACCATGTTTTCTATATTCTCATCTAAATCATTCATATAAATGACAAACAAAAGTGGACCCAGGACTGATCCTTGTGAAGCACTGGTCACAGGCCTCCAGTCCAAGAAACAACCCTCCACCATCACACTCTGTCTATACAGTTAAGCCAATTTTGTATCCATTTGGCAAGTTC